TGATTTATTTTGTCTGAGAATTTATAAATTATCTTGCTTCTGAAACAAAAAAGGCTAAATATTTCTGAATGTAGATGGACAGATTTCAAGCTAAATCAGTGGGCAAAAGAAAAAATTATATCAGTAGCCATCTTTGAAAAGAACAGGAAAGACTAACGTTAATATATAGCATAGAAACTGCTAATATGGATAACAGAACAACTAGTGTAGAACTGGAACTGATAACAAAACTGAAAATGCATAGGATGATGCCTTGAAACATGACAAAATTATACTGTTGAATTTGAGAAACCTTCAAAAATAAGAGTCTTGGCATACAGAAATCTAGGTATAATTGCTTAATTCGATACAGATCTTCAAAAGATTGTAGCAGTTCATTGATATTTTTGTTTTGGTTTTTTTTAGAAGTAAGCAAAATCACAATGAATCTGCTCTTCTATCTTTCCTCAGTCATATCTCCTCTTTCTGATCATCAGTTTGGATTTCTGAAGGATTGAGGCCATTTCTTAAGAAAAAGAACACAACTGGTTTAATTTGGATTCCTCATGTTGCTGAACTTCAAAATGGAGTACTACAGTAGACTTTTTGTAGCAGTGTTTAACAAAGTACTGTGCAGATCCATTTTTCAAAAGTTGCTTTGTTTGCATGTAAAAAGGGTTAAAATAGTATTCATGAACTATTAAAATGCCACAAAGAAGTTACTAGAATATACTTTTCTATTTCACAGGAGGTTAGTAGTGTTTCTCTGAAGGCAATGGTTAACATTACCTAGAAACAATTTTCCACTGAAGTGCATGGAGAATTGGTCTTGTCAGCTTGATATTCAAGTCAATTGTCTAATGCTATTAGAAATAAGTCTCCATTGAAGTGAATGGAGATCAATTTTCAATAGTATTTCATTGAAGTCAATGGGCCAGTGCCATCAGAAATGAGTCTTACTGAAGTTGATGGAGATTCATTTTTGATAGCAGGCCATTGAAGTCAATGGAAATAAACTCCAGAAAGTTAACCCCATCGAGGGCAATTGCAAGTGATTCTCCATAGTCTTCCATTCAAGACACAGAAAGAGATTCTTGTATTCCACAGTGTAACTGCATTCATTTTTATATAATGACCTTCATGCATATAGTATCTTTAAACTATCCATAAATGAATGCCTCACGTGCTAGTAGTGAAGTGACTTTGTAGGCTAACAAAGCGGCTATAGGTGTTCATCATAATCTCAGAACACCACATAGCACAGTTCATATAATACTGGAGAATGTATCTGAGAGAGATAATGTTAGACAGGATATCACTTATCCTATACTCTTTGAACAGTGCCTGGACTGCTAATGTCTAGCTAGATAGCCATCGGAGGCAGGCTCAAGGGTTCAAAGTTTAATGTCTCACCAAAGGGTAGCACCTATAAAAGCACATCGCTCCGCTCCCCCCCCCCCCCCCCCACTCCAAGTACTGAAGTATAGAGTCAGTACTTCTATCAGCTAAATTCTGGTGTGTGAATTGAATCCATAATCTTCTAACCTGTAGGCTAAAGTGCCCTCATTGTAGCTAAACACACAGAAGACATTTACAGAGCTTCAGGCATTAACTCATGGGGAATTAACCTCACCATCTTTGTTTAAGCACAATCACCATCTCTTATTTCTTTTCATCTGTACAGAGCTTTAAACATTTGAAAAGCTAATAGTAAACAGAGAATCAATATAAATTAAAAGATAGGTGTATAAGTGGATCCAGGGATGAACACTTTATATGAACTGAGAGGTTGATTGAATGAGAGGGGGAAAATGGAGTTAAATATCCTTAACTTTGTCATTTTGTGCATGCCATTATGCTAAAATATTTATGATTATGTAACCGTATCACAATATAGTATGCCACCAGGTAAATATTTTCCACAGACATGGATCAGTTATATGGAAATGTATGAATTTTTCATCATATGATTCTATATTCTGTAATTTATTTTTTTGTTGAAATTTCTATTAACACAATCTATAGGTACTCATTCAGCACTCTGGGTACATAGCCCATGAATTAAAAGCACAACAGAAATTTTAGGGAATCAGAAAAATGTTAAATTCTTTTTATCTATGACTTCTTGTAATCTAAGAGACATAGTTCCAAAATACTGAAGCAAAAGTATTGGCAATGTCCATTGAACTTCTGCCTACATTGGGGCAAAAAGCCACAGTCCCACTGATTAAGAAAGTGAAATAGTAAATAGGATATCAGAAGTTAAACAAAATACTTTAAACCAAATCATGTTTAGGGCTTTAGATGTTAAAGCTAAGATGCACATGGTCTTCAGTAATGTTAAACCTAACCTGCAAGTCAACAGGCAACTAGTAAAGAGAAAGTATTCTAATTCACTGCTTCTTCTTCCTACTTTAATAGCTGTGTTTTTCATTCTGTCCTTACTAGAGGTAGCAAATCATGTAGCTCAATACAGAAGTCATTAGTTTGAGTTTAAAGTCACACGGTGTCAGGATGGCGGTCGGTTTCTAGTGGAGTGCCCCAAGGTTTGATTCTAGGACCGGTTTTGTTCAATATCTTTGTTAATGACCTGGATGAGGGGATGGATTGCACCTTTAGCAAGTTTGCAGATGACACTAAGCTAGAGGGAGAGGTAGATACGCTTGAGGGCAGAGATAGGGTCCAGAGTGACTTAGACAAATTGGAGGATTGGGCCACAAGAAATCTGATGAGGTTCAACAAGGACAAGTGCAGAGTCCTGCACTTGGGACGGAAGAATCCCAAGCATTGTTACAGGCTGGGGACCAACCAGCTAAGTAGTAGTTCTGCAGAAAAGGACCTGGGGGTTACAGTGGATGAGACGCTGGATATGAGTCAACAGTGAGCCCTTGTAGCTAAGAAGGCTAATGGCATAATAGGGAGCATTAAGAGGAGCATTGCCAGAGATCTAGGGATGTGATTATTCCCCTTTATTCAGCTCTGGTGAGGCCACATCTGGAGTATTGTGTCCAGTTCTGGGCCCCCCACTATAAAAAGGATGTGGACACATTGGAGAGGGTCCGGCGAAGGGCAACCAAAATGATTAGGGGGCTGGAGCATATGACCCACAAGGAGAGGCTGAGGGAGTTGGGTCTGTTTAGTCTGCAGAAGCGAAGAGTGAGAGGGGATTTTATAGCAGCCTTCAACTTCCTGAAGGGAGGTTCCAAAGAGGATGGAGAAAGGCTGTTCTCAGTAGTGACAGATGGCAGAACAAGGAGCCATGGTCTCAAGTTGTGGTGGGAGAGGTCCAGGTTGGCTATTAGGAAAAACTATTTCACTAGGAGGCTAGTGAAGCACTGGAATGGGTTACCTGGGGAAGTAGTGGAGTCACCACCCCTAGAGGTGTTTAAGTCTCGGCTTGACAATGCCCTGGCTGGGTTGATTTAGTTGGGATTGGTCCTGCCTAGAGCAGGGGGCTGGACTTGATGACCTTCTGAGGTCTCTTCCAGCTCTATGGTTCTGTGATTCTATGCTGTATCATGATCTCTAGTGTTACCACACAAAAGCTGGCTTCTGTCTAGCAGCATCAACAAGACGTTATGTTGTGCTGACCACATGTGACACCAAGTCTTCTATTGCCAGCCTGTGGTCAAACACTGCCCTCAGATTTGTGCCATTCTACCTTTCTGAGGAAGCTCCTTGAAGAGGGGAAGGCCTCAGAAAGTACCATTCATTTTACATTTATTTCCTGTATACTTATCTTGGATTCAAAGTGTCATCCAGTTTCTAATAATAGAATTTGGATGTACACACAATCTCTTTGTCGCCAGATTTTGGAAAGACAAATCTAACTGTCATCTGTAAATGGTGATGGCTTATTTTATACTGCACAACTTCCTCCAAGAAGCAGCATATAGATTCTGAACATACAAAAACAGATCCCCAGAGAATCTCTCAACCAATTCTAGTGCAAATAATTGAAAATTAACCTACTGTGTGTGAAGTGATGATTTATCCCTGAGGTAAAGCCTTGATTAACCCACCTGGAGCAAAAGTCTCAGAGGGGTAGCTGTGTTAGTCTGTAACTAAAAACAAAAAATGAATGAATGGCCCTGCAGCACCTTAGAGACTAACAAAAAATATAAATAATATCATGAGCTCTTGTGGACACAACCCACTTCTACAGATGACAAATATGGAACAAGAGGCACAGAGGGTCAAATAGAAAGCAGAAAAAGAGGGGGGAAAGGGAGGGGAAAAAACCAACCTGTCAATTAAAGTGTCCATGCTAAATGAGGCTAATAGAGTGTGCTGTAAGTATCTTATACTTAGCTTTTGATGTCATTTGGGTGTTGAATATAAGGGCCTATCCAAGAAATGTGTTTGTTCAATCCCTGACTAAATGTGTCAAATTTGCATATGAAGGCCAGTTACACAGTTTCTCTTTCTAGTTGATTCCTGAGATTGCTTTGTAAGAGAATAGCCACGAGTCATTCCTTTGTAAGGCTCATGCCAGGAGCTGGTCTGGTGACTCTCAGGGCAAATATAAAGGTCTCACAAGAGAAACAGGATCTCAGTCTGATCAACATTACTTCAGGGCTTTGAATTTTTCTCATTTTGGCCGTAGCAACAGACTCCACATGATTATTCTGCTTTGGCTCTGCTTTTTCTCCAGCCTTGCCTCTAATGCTACTCAAGGCTAGCTCCTATCCCTACTCTTAACCTTGTTCCAAGTCTGCCCTTGATTCTGGCTCTGAATCCTGGCTCCAACCACTAGGCCTGACCATCCTCACATTGGCTTCTGACACTGGCTGATTAGAACAGCTTTGAAGCTTCAGGGGGTAGCCGAGTTAGTCTGTATAGGTAAACTGAAAAAACAACAAATAGTCTGGTAGCACTTCATAGACTAACAAAACATGTAGATAGTATCATGAGCTATTGTGGGCACAGCCCATGAAAGCTCATGATACCATCTACATGTTTTGTTAGTCTATGAAGTGCTACCAGACTATTTGTTGTTTTTTCAGTAGAACAACTTTGTCAGGTACAAACTGAGTTTATTATGTTAACTGCTATGGCCAGTTCTTCTCCAGGAAGCACAAGAGAGAGCCAACAATACAGAATATCAATAATGTTTGAAAGGTCTATTATTAACAAGAAAAGAATAAAAATTATGTTTTGACAGTCTTTTTTTAAAAAAAAGTAATTGAAGCTTTGAGTTCATATGCCAAGATTAGTCTAAGTGATATGATTACAAATGTTATAAAATAAACTCTAAAAAGCACAATTTATCATAGAAATGAACACATGCTAGTTACAGTCTGTCCACAAAGAACACTATGTATGCATGGCGGTACAGACAGTCCCCGAGTTACGCGGATCTGACTTATGTCGGATCCGCAGTTACGAACGGGGCCGTTCCTCTCCCTGGTCTCCAGCAGACCAGGGAGAGGAAGCAAAGCGGCGGAACACGTGGGCAGCGGACAGGGCTGTCCAGAAATGAACACATGCTAGTTACAGTCTGTCCACAAAGAACACTATGTATGCATGGCGGTACAGACAGTCCCCGAGTTACGCGGATCTGACTTATGTCGGATCCGCAGTTACGAACGGGGCCGTTCCTCTCCCTGGTCTCCAGCAGACCAGGGAGAGGAAGCAAAGCGGCGGAACACGTGGGCAGCGGACAGGGCTGTCCGCTGC